GAAACTAGTGGACTGTATAGAGCGAGTGTTGAATTTTAATATGTTTTTGCAAATGACTAGAGAAATGACTAACTTCGAAAATAAAGAAAAAACTTACAAATAGAAACAATATGACAAAATGCAATAGATGTATCTAAATTCACTCATTGTTATTATCATTGTTAGCTACAAATGATTGATTAGCTGATACAGGCCAGGGTCTGTGCCAAATTCTCAAAATGCTGGTATTAATATCTCCATTTACAGATAAAGGCCACGAAGCATAAAAGGTTAAATGACTCAACGCAGGCCACACAGCTAAGTGCAGGAGCTGAAATTAGTTATTAATATCCTGGAGTAGTAATTCTTTTAAAAATAATAATAATAAATGGCACAAATTCCACTTAGAATCCAGCTGCAAATAATTATCAAATTTGCCTCCATTTTATCCTTAACTCAATGGAAACAATTTGAGATATGACTAAATTTGGAGCTAATCAAAATTTCTAAACCTCTTAAAAAATTAAATACCTCATTAATAAATAGGTTTTCTCTGTGAGTCTAGAATAACAGCAGTAAAAATATCAGTAATTGTGTTTGGGAAAGAAGTTTTATAATCAAAACCTTCTTAAAAATAATTTGTGTTTCAAACATGAAGGTACACATCATTCGTTAACTAGTAACGGTATTGTTGGGAGTGATTAGAAAATTAGAAATGAGAGAAAACGGGTAAAAAGGATACATGAGTAGAAGTGTGTGTTTAGGCACCTAAACTCGGGGAGAGGGGAGAAGAACCTACACTTACACCTTCACTGTGCACCTCTAGGTCAGCTGGTAGAAAGAGTGAGGATTTCAGAAGTCGGGCTGCTTCACAGCCTGGTGGTTGAAAGTCAGCTCTCACATGGTGGACCTGCACAGTTCGAGTCTAGACCTAGTGGCTTAAGAAACATGTCTGTCACATGTGCATGTGCCCCGAACCCCAAATGAAAGGAAAAGTGGAAGAGAAGGGATTTGGCATACCATTCCCCATGGGGTGTATGTTCTCTCCTCCCTCTCTCTCTGCCTTCCTCTGGACAGTGCACATTCTCTCTAGTTAGAAGAGAGGGAGGGAGAGACATGAACTTAGGGGCTGGCACCGTGGTGCAGTAGTTAAACATGGTATGGAGGGGGCCAGACACCACACAGCTAACTGTAGTTCAAATCATGGTCACAGAGGTGTGACACACACTCTGGGTGCATGTGCAAATGCCCTGGGCAGACTGGAGGGCTGGAGGAAAGGGGACTGTGGCATGACCAGGCCCTGTTGGGGTTCTCTCTCTCCCTCTCATGCATGCATGTACCCTCTGGCATAAAAAAAGATGGAATAATGTTGTTGTGTAAGAGGTAATCAACTGTGTTCAGTACAGTTTGGAATTAAGTAATCACATATAGGTACAGGCCGAAGAGTTGAAGGGATACATTGGTATGGTCTCAAAATTCTATTCTGGCTTTTTGCTTAGGCGAACAAGCTTCGGTCTTTCTGTGACTTCCTCTGCCAACCTAGAGCCTTGTATTAGCTGAGGAATACAGTGGAGATCATCCATGGAATGAGGACAGATAAGGGGAATGTTGGAATGAAGCTCAGGGCAAAACTAGATAGATAATTTGTAAAAGGAAAAAAAGCGTTGACATGCCATGGCTGTGTCAGAATCCTGTCTTCTGAACAAAGCTGAAGGACAATCTTGGCCGAATCAGTGAATGGGTTGGGATTTTAGCCAGCATGCCAATAAATAACTACTCAAGAAATGCTAGTATGATACATTTTCACATTTAAGTTGTATCAAACCCTCTAAATCTCTCTCTCCCCCCCCCTTTTTTTTTTTTTTTTGGTAGAGATTTTTGCTATAGAGCATGTGTGCTCACTGGAAAGACAAAAAGACAGAAAGTGAGAAATCATCTCCCAGGGAGGATGGCCATACTACAATCCCTTCTCCTCTGTTCTCTTCTCAGGATTTTGAGCACACATGCATATGCGCCCAGTATGAGTTTCAGACCACTGGGTCCAGGACTCAAAGCAGTCATCCATGAAGGAGTTCAGAGTCTTAATCACTATACCACCTGCTGGATCCAAGCTCTCTAAATTTCTAAAGTGCAGTTTGTTATAGAATAGCAGTTTAATCATTCAACTATAGAACAGTAGAGAAATAAAGGTACCATGTTTATTAGTAAGAGTCCAATAAGGGGCTAGAAACTGCACAAAAATTGAGTAAGGAAAGCTTAATACAAGCAATCAGTGACTGGACTGGGGAGCAGCAGAAAATTGGAGGCGGCCAGTAAAAGTTAAAGGGAATTCTAAAATATATACAAATAGCAGATAGAGGGAGTAGCCACTGTTCGTAACTAGGCCTGAGAGAGAACACAAAGAAGAGACCTGACCAGAGGCTCATGCTGGAGCACAGCCAGGACCACTGAAGTTACAGTCCTTGAGGTGCATTTGCCTTCAGAGTGCCAGGGGAAACCATCCATAGAGAGATGCCTAGCTGGGACATTCCAAAATGTCATCCGCTATGGTCTAAATGTCTCCCCAAAATGTATACGTTGAAACAATCATCAGGCCAGCCCATGGCCTGGTGGTTAAGATGACTGGATTCTTCATAGCTAATTGTGTGATTCAAGTTCTGGACCCAGCAGCTTAAGAACATGCTGAGCATGTGTGCGTGCACGCCCAAAATTCCAACAGGAGGGAGAAATAGAAGGCATTGCCATGTGACCAAGCCCCTGGGAGGTGCTTCTTTGCTTTCTTTCTCTCTCCACCTCTCTCTGGCAAGTGCATATATCCTCTGGGAAAAAAAATGAAGAAAAAAAAAAACAAAAAAAAAAAAACAAAAAAAAAAAAAAACCAGAGAGAGAAAGAAACAAAGAGAAAGAAACAATCACCAATGTGATAGTATTAAGAGGAGGGGACTGTAAGAGGTGATTAAGGCATGGGGGTCTCATAAATGGAATTTATCCCTTATAAAAGGGATAGAGGCAGCATGTTCATTCCTTTTCACCCTTTCCATCACGCAAGGAACCAGTATTCATCCTCTCTTGAGTTTATAACAACAAGGCCCCACCCTGGAAACAAAGAGCAGCCTTCAGCAGACACCAAGACTGTTGGTGCCCTCATCTTGGACTGCCCAGCCTCTAGAACTGTGAAAAATAAATTTCTATTGTTCATAAATTACCCAGTCTGTAGTACTGGGTTGTCGGAAAAGTCATGATGCATTTTTGCATAGAAAAATAGAGAAAAAAAATCATGACTTTTCCAACAACCCAATGTTTTATTACAACATCACAAATAAAGATGTCACCCAAGAGAGATATCCTCAAGGAAAGCATTCCTGGGGGTGTGCCCCTAGCAGCACTCTACTGAGAAGATGCCCAAGGCAGATCCCAGGCAATGAAGAGCAGATTTGGAAGCAGGAGGCAAAAAGCTGGTATCTGGCATTCCGTCAGTTATAGGGTGAACTATAGGTATGCTGAAGTCCTTACCCCTGATACCTGTGAATGTGATTTTATTTGGAATAATTGCATTAATTGTGTAATTAATCTATTTTTTGCCTTTCTTAAATATTGATGATTGATTAACATCATTTACGCTTAGAATCATAGAGTTGGCAGGAAACCTTGAGAGCTCAAAGCCAACATCCCCATTTCATTAAACTTTTTAGTAAATATAATTTACACATGTAACAGTACACAAATCCTAAATGTACAATTCATTCCACTTTCATATCATGGAAAGATGTTTAGCCACCAGTGTGAAGAAACTGAACATCACAGTACATCGCACACACTTCTGAACTTCCCCTTTTGGTCACTAGCTCCCTTCAGGCATGACAGCTCTCCTCATTTCTAACATCATTGATTCTGTGGTTTTGCTTGGTACCAAACTATAAATAACTGGGATCATATAATGTACATTCTTATCCTTCTAGCTTCCTTTGTCCACCACGTTTGTGAGGTTAGCATACATTATTGTGTACAGTAGCAGTCATCCATTGTCTGACAAACTACAGCACCCAAAAACCATGACCCACGAGCCAAATCTGCAGACCTGCTCCTGTTAAGTAAGAGGCTGTAGTGAAATATGGTCATACCCACCTTGTTTATGGCTACTTAGCGCTACCAAGGCAGAATTGAGAAGCTGGGATGGACATCGAATGGCCCACAAAGCTCAAAATATTAGGTCGTCAGAAAAGTCATAACACATTTTTAATATAAAACCACAAAAAAAATGCCATGGCTTTTCCAACAAGTAATGTCTAGCTCTTTATATAGAAGAAATTTGCTAACCCTGCCATGCAGTATTCCAATGAATATATGTACACAATTTGTCTAACCCTTTCTGTCACTGATGAGCATTTGGGTAATTCCCACTCTGAAGCTACTACAATGAGTGCTGCCATTAGCATTTTAGTAAATATTTGTTCAATGTGGAAGCATTCCTATTGGGCAGGTAACCAGGAGTGGAACTGCTGGGCTGTACACACATGATGAGCTTCACTAAATCTTGCCAGTTTTCCAAAGTACCAATCTATTCATTTTAATGAACAAGGAAACTAATGCCCTAAAATGTTGGGTCATATCATTGCAATGAATTAGGAAAAATACTTTGGGGCTTTGGAAAACTTTTGTCTTAAAATCAAACAAAATCTCCAAGGAAAGTATTGGGTTAAACTAAGTAAATTCAAAACTTCTAGGTACGGGCTGCAATCATTCTTGCAGAAAAAGCATTCCTTGCTCTCTGGACAGGATATTTTATAAGAATCTGAGAACAGAAAAACTTTGGAATAAAAGCAGTGGCTTGGGGACAGCAGGTGGTATGGTGGTTAAGAGCATTGGACTCCCACATGGCCAACCATGGTTTGAGTCCTGGACCTAGCGGCTTGCTTTCTCACTTTCCCTCTCTCTCTCTCTGGTCAAATTAAAATAAAAGAAAGTTAAATTTAAAAAGTAATTATTAAAAAAAAAAAAGCAGTGGCTTATAAAGTCCTTACCTTAGAATAAATACAGCCATCAGTTCCAAACACCCATTTCTGAGATTCATCTCCTATATGTCTGCAATAAAAATGTAATTTAGAGATTGGCACCTTTCTCCACACAGCAACACTTGTAGTTTCAAATAAAAATGATCATCGATTGTTTCCATGTAGCCTGGCAGGAGGACTGCCCACATTCAACCAAGGGTCCTCCATAATCACTGCCATGTCTAATCAGTAAGTGCACTGCACCAGGGCCAGCCGGCACGCAGTGGTTACATGCTCTGCGTAGAGAGCCAGATCCCACCCAGCTGACCACAGTGCAGTCACCATCCCGGTGGCTTCTTAGATGCACTGGGCATGTGTGTGAGCACAGCCATAGTCCTATGGGATGGAGAAGTGGAGAATAAAAGGATTGTGGCATGACCACACCCCATTGGGGAGATACTTTCTCTCTCTCTGGTGAATGCACATACCCTCTGGCATTAAACATATATATGTTGCTGGGCCAGCAGGTGGCATAGTGATTGAGGTACTGGACTACCACATGGCCATGGCGGACCACGGGTCAGGTCCTGTACCTGGAGGTTTGGTTTTCCCCGCTTTCCCTCTCTCTCTGGTGAATACATGCACCTTATATCAAGTTAAAAAGTAATAATATTAATTAATAAAATTAAATAAATAATTCTTAAATTATATATATATACACATACACACACACACACACACACACACACATATATATATAATTATAGTATTGTAGAATTTTTGCCCCCTCATAAAAAACAATCAGTTCTCTGAGACAGAGAGAGGGGTTTAATTATATATAAGGGTTAAAAGGAAGGTATGCAAAAAGATATCATGAAGAATTAGGAACCTCAGGCAACTTCTGAAACAGCCAGGGAATTTTATAAGGCAATATCATATTTTCTGAACTAAGTCTGAGTAAGAAAAAAAACTCTAAAATGTGACAAAGCTAATCATGCCTAAATTAACTAATCATGTATTCATTAATATTTAGAAATCTTACAACGGTAAGACACACTGAATTAATTGAGTGTAACAGAATGTTAAACAAGACTTTTCCTACTGCCTCAGAGTTTTCCCAGAAACGTCAAAGGTTGTGAACAGGAGGTGTGGGTAACACTCTGCTGGAACGCAGGTGCTGGGACCTGGGGACGGGAGGGCAGCTGTACCAATCTGCTCAGTGCACACGGGTTCCCCACCACATCCAGTCTGCATCAGAGAGCGTGACGGATTCCTGGGCATGTTGAAATGGATGCCTGATAACAATGTAGGTCTCCAGACCCCAGACCTCAGAGGTTTTGATTCTGAAGGGCTGGACTACATTAACAGGCACTGCAAGTGATTCCAACGATAAGAACTCTGGGAATTTGGGTGCATGCAGTCTATGGGTCCACAAACCTTGGAGAACACTGAACCAGAATGATGCGGGCATTGAGGAAAGGAAAAACCAGAGGCTTAAAATAACGAAATAATAATAAAGGCACTGTTTCTGCACTGCATTCCTGACACACAGCTCCCAACTCCCTTGGAATTTCCTGAGTAATAGAAGTATCTTTTCTCCTAATGAAGCGACTCTTGGCGGGCTTCGAGATAGGGAGCTGGTCATGAGAAAGACCAAACCATGTAGTAGCTTAGAACTTTCAGGATCATTCCACCTCCCCCTCTGGAGAGGCAAGAGAAGCTGGAGACTAAGTACGTAACCAGTCGTGCCTCATGACCCTAACGAACAGGGCCTGGAGGGCCTGGAGATCCTGCAGGGTTGTGGGTACATCCAGGGAGTGAGGCACCCCAACTCCACAGGTACAAAAGATCAGGCCCCTTCCAAATCGTGTCCTGTGTACCTCTTCAGCTGGCTGCTCACCCATATCCTCTGCTGATGTCTTATGTGATGAGCCAGTAAATGCAAATAAGTGTTTCCCTGAGTCTCACTGGCCCTGCTAGCAAATTATTGGACCCAAGGACAGAGTCGTGAGAACCCAATGTGGAGCTATTCAGATGAAATCTGGGACTTGTGACTGGCATCTCAAGAGGAGGCAGTCTTGTGGACCGAGGACTTAACTTGTGAGATCTGATGCCCACTTCAGGTAGTCAGAAGTGAATTGAAATGTAAGATACTCAGTTGGCACACACAGAGAATGGAAGAACTGCTTGGTGGAGGAAAAAAACGCCCACGTGTCTAGTGTCAGAAATGAAATATATAAAGTAGGAAAAACAATTTGCTTTTCCTATGCAAAATATGATAAAAGGAAAACTAACTTGGTTATCGGCTAAACGGGGTAGATGTTGGAGAGAGCAGACAGAGCGAAGTCTCAGATGTCAAATTTGAGTAAAGAGGAACGTGATACTACGAAAAGAAAGTTAAATTAGATGTGAGAAACATAAAGAATTTTAACACATGCATAAAATATCTTTCAAGGTATCACTGAACCTCATTCTCAGGCTTCAGAAAAATGTAATTGTTGCTCAAACAATTTCAGCATTAGATAGGTTGATGGGAGTACGGGGGAAGGAGATTTTCCTAGAGATCTTTATATTCTGTAATTAATACAAGATACATTATTTTTACTTGGAGTCGGCAAATATAACTGTGATTATTGTAGTAACAATTACCCAAGAAATAACACAACTGTTAGAATTTTAATGGAACTGGGTGCTATCTGGGTCTATCCCCATTTTATAGATGAATAAAGGGAGATGCAGAGATGTGAAGTGAACTGGCAGAATCACAGCCTAAAGGGGAATGGATAGGATTTTTAGCTCAGAACTTCTGCTATTAGATTAGAAGAGTAGAACACCATTTAATTTGTGTAACTTGCAAGATTGAAAACAAAATCTACACTTTGGTCTCATTCACTATAACTGAACACATAACTCAGTGATTTTATATTGATACAAACGTTTTTTATATATTTGTAGCAAAATAGTCACCTATTAGATTCATACTGTAACGAATCCCCCTGAAGTCCTGGAGAAGTTCATAGCCAGCAGATGAAGAAATGGCAGAAACAATACTGAGGGTCTTTAAGGCTGCCAATCTCAAGTTTAGAAATACACTGATTGCAGAATGCTTTGATGGAAATTAGACCATTTGAATATGTAAGGCTTACAACTCAGTGCAACTCTGCTGCTCACAGGAAATCTCCCCTTGCATTATTATGACCACATTTCTTTAAGATAAATAAAGTAGAAAATGATAATTTTCCAAAATACAAGACATCTGTAATTGGTAATTAGTATACTGATGCTAATCACCAAAATCTTTAAAATTCAGAATTTTATCTTTTAATTGGATTATAGTGTTAGCTTGAGAATCAGTCATGTTGAGTTCACTTTGACTTTCTGAATTTATAGCATCTTTCCCCAGGAATAATGCCATAGAAAAGATGTCCACTCGATTGGCAGCTGTGTGAGGGCAGAGGCCACGAGTACCCTCAGAGCTGATGAAGAGCCTGGCATGCAGCTGGAGGTTGAAGATATCTCTGATCCAGTAGGCACGTGATGGCCGGGAGGTGGCGTGAAGGCCGAGGCACTGAGCCACATGGCCGACTGCACAGCTCAAGTCTCCTGGACCTGGCCGCTTGAAAATCATGCAGGGCGTGTGTGTGAGTGTGCCCAAAAAACCCAAGAGGAAAATGGAAGAGAAAGGATTGCGGCGTAGCCATCCCCCAGGGGGGTGATTTCTCTCTTTCTTTCTTTCTCTGTCTTCCTCTGGTGAGTGCACGTGCCCTATAATATAAAGAGGGAAAAGAAATAGACATGTGAATACTGTATCAGTGAAGTAATAAGAAAACTTTGTTTTTCCAATCTTTGGGATGATTCAGGTCACTTAGCAATGACATTGTCGGTTTGCCTTTCATCCTCTGATGGTCAGATGCACAGAATAGAAAAGAAATACATGAAAAGGAAAAATACGTACGAGCATTTGCTGTATGGAGTAAGAATAAGATGACTGACACTAAAAGAGACATAACTGATCTAATGAGGCATGATATGTTTACAATATGCTTTGTGAGTTGTCAGGTTGCTACTTTAAGTGCTAGTTCTATTATTTTTTGTGTATAAAAGGCTATGTCTTGATTCATAGCTTTTGTTAAAATCATATTATACTCCTTAGGAGAAGAAGGAACATTTATTTCTCTAGAAGATGCTGCCACCTGAGGATACATTATTATTTATAATGAATTATGGTTATCTTAAGAAAAGTCATGTAGGTACTTTAAATTTTCTAGAAAAGATAAATGTATCCAAAAGTGCACACCCAGAGGTGAGGTAAGCTCTAAAAACAATGGTCCATACTGATTTCCAAAAAATAAGGTAGAACTTCTCAGTTAATGAGAACCTCTAGCTTTCTGAACCTCCTGCTCTTCTGCCTCTGAAGTAGGCCGGCTAGACCGTTAACAGGGCTGCAGCCATTCTGAAATGCAGAAAGGCCTCTGACCAAGTGCGGAGTCATAAGAAAGTCTGTTGGAGGAAGGGTCAGATGAGAAACCAGAAGTGGATATTTGAAGGATTCAGGATAATTACTCGGGGGAAAGCGGCTGACTAAGTGCCACGAGGACTGATTTGACCTGCTTGTGTCTTATCCCGATTAAGACCATGTTGACCTTTCTGAGACAGCTTGATGGTGTGTGCTGGCTGTCTTCCTGTAACCAGTAACAGAAATGAACTCCCTTCCACTCCAGCCTCTGTCTCTGGTTTCACTGATCACTGGAGAGCCAATCAGACATGGTTGGCCAGTATAACACCTCCACCTTGCAAGCGAATTTTCCTTCTCAGATAAAGGCCTGAGATTTTGCTTTCACAGCTTAATAGTTCACATTCAGAAGATGATAAAAGGTTAAGAATGTACACAGAAATTTAAATATTTTAATTAGTAATAAAAATGGATATAAAGAAGTGAGTTCTAATAATTATGCAATAAAACAGCAGATTGTCTATAACACAGGTAACCACTGGAGGCCAATATTTCAGTTTTTGAGAGAGAGAGGTTTTTGCTATAGGGTGCATGCACTCATTGGAGAGACAGAGAGAGTTAGAAATCATACCCCAGGAGGGATGGCCATGCCACAGTCCCTTCTTCTCCATCTCCTCTGGGGAATTTGGACATGCATGTGCACACAGATGTACCTGGCATGAGTTTCAAGCCTGCAGGTCCAGGACTCAAACCATTCGACCACGTGGGAGTCCAATGACAACCATTATGCCATCTGCTGGTCCCAACATTTCACTTATTAAGGCAATTTTAAAACACTACCGAACTAAATGGCATACATTTTCATACTTACTTTAGATATAAAAATTAATAGTGACACTGTGAACACAAATTTAAGCACTTAATGAATATTCCCTCTAAGCCAGGAAGCACCATAATCTCGCTACTCAGAATTCTTGAAATGAACATTTATTAACTTGAGCTGAAGAGCCAGAAGCATTACCTCCTCTGGAGGATTAACCGATAGCCTTCTAGTGACGGTCCCGCAGCGGCCTTGACTCTGATTGGATGGCCAACAGCTAGGCAGCCCTGGGTTACCGCTCGGCTCAGGATCACTCCCGTCTTCCCATGAATAGAGAAGGGGTAGAAAGGTCTAAATAAGTTAAAAGAACCAGAAAATTCAACAATGTGTCACAAATAGTGGGGTCATTATGCCTGGATAACCCCGGATATTAACAGTCACCGAAAGTGAAACACTACCCACAACTTAGCAGTCAGTGAGCTCTGCTCGGAATCAGTGATCTTCTGTCCAACGAGGGTGGCATTTTACAGTTCAGCGCAAAATAAAACAGACCTTGATGTCTTCATTTGTCCTTTTTTCTGTGCATATTTCACAGTGCAGTGATTTGGGGTCCATCACGTGTCACTTGCTATCATTATAACTACAGAGCTTATTTGAAATATGTATGCACAGAAAAAAAAAAGTGCAGTGAACTGAAAAGATTGAAACAAATCCTTAACCTTTGCACCAATGTAAAGTTTTACTCTGGGTCTAAATACCATGGGTTAAATGTTTTAAGGTGGTTTGTGAACTGCTTTTGTTTTAAATGTAAGAACTCTCCGCCAAGGAAATTAGTTGAGAATATTGTTTGAATTGCCATTAACCATCTCCTTAGTGAATCAATACAATGTTTTAAACAAGTAACAACACTGAAAAACTTATCTACACCTATTTGGGATTTATAGCATAGAAAATTCTCTATTTTTTTAAGAGAAAGTTTTGCTATAGGGTGCATGTGCTCACCAGAGAGACAGAGATAGATAGATAGAGAGAAAGCAAGAAATCGTCCCCCAGGGGGATGGCCACACTGCAATCCCTTCTCCTCCATTCTCCTCTTGGGATCTTGGGCACGCACGCACACGCGCCCGGCGTGAGTTGAAGCCACCAGGTCCAGGACTTAAACCACGGTCAGCCATGTAGGAGTCCAGCGATGTAACCATTACACCATTTGCTGGTCCCCCAAATTTTCTACTTTAACAAGTCAGAGGATTTATTTATTTTTGGAGAGGTTTTTGCTATAGGGGGCGTGCACTTGCCAGAAAGAGAGAGACAGAAAGTGAGAAATCACCCTCCAGGGGTGATTTCCATGCCGGGGGTATGGGGAAATGGCCATGCCGCAATCCCTTCTCTTCCATTCTCCTTTCGAGATTTTACGCATGCACACGTGCCCGGCGTGAGTTTAAGCCACCAGGTCCAGGACTCGAACCACAGTCAACTACATGGGAGTCCAGCGACATAGCCATTATACCAACTGCTGGTCCCCAGAGGATTTATTTTTAAAAGAGGAAGAAGGAATTCAGCTAAAAAAAAAGATTCAAATTGTGTCCTTTTTAACTTTTATTTCTCAGGATTTTGTTGTATAGAAAAGAAGCACACAATGTTTTGGGTCTAAAAAGCCTAGAAGGAAACCTTCCTTTGAACACGATCATATGTACAGAAAGAAGTGCTTGTGGTGAGGAGAGAGAGCTGCCACGTGTCAACCACTTCCTGCGCACCAGGTACCATGCCTGAACTTCACACTGTCTTTTCCTCTCATCTTCATGGCAACCACACAGGCAGGTCTGACTAACTGCATTCTGCAGATAAGGAAGCGGCAGTTCAGTGCTGCTAAGTAACTTTCCCAAGGCCACATGGCAATCCAAACCATAATCTTTGGGTAAATATTTAAATTACTTTTGAGGAAGTATTAGATAGGTACAGGTTTTCTGATATCATGAAACTACAGAAAATGAGAAGTAGGAAGGGCCTTCCATATCAACTGGTCCAGCTCTTTCCAGATGAGAAGAGGAAGGCCATACACGCACGTGATGCGTCACAGCTACTCCATGGCAGGGTGAAGACTGACAGACGCGCCGTGCTCCAGGAACCTGCTCCCAGATGGCTGGGCTGGAAAGCTGCATTCGTATTACAATGGAAAGGCCTACGTTCTGAAGTCAGGGCAAGAACCCCACCTCTGCTATCTGCTGACCTCAGTTGCTTCAGCTTATCATGAAAAACTGCACAGTTCTTAGGATGGAAGAGATGATAAATGGATATAAAGTTCCTAACACAGTGCCTGGCATAGCAATGGTACAATGGAATGTCAGGCATTAATATTAAATCAGAAACAAAATGCAATGTGAAAGGGCTGGCAGTTAATAGAATCTCCAGGCTGGAAGCAGATTTTAGGAATATCTCATCTAATCTCATCCCATTTGGGGACATGAAATAAGTACTATCTCTCAGCACATTTTATCTTAATTATTCTATATGTTTTTGACTCTCAGAGAATCAAAGAACAACAGTTAAGGGCAATTCAAAATTTCACTTGAGAAAATAGTTTCAAACCCGCCTTCCCCACAAACTGTGTAGCAGCAAACCTGATTGGGAGACTGCATTCCTAGGAGTGTTGATAACCGGCCGACAGTCTACAGTGAGGGGCACAGGGAGACAGAGAAGGGGAGACACAATCTGCACCTTCTTTTTCCAGACATAAATATGCAGGGTCTTCCAAAAGTTCATGGAAAATGTATATTAAGAAAAATTTCCTGAATTTCAAAAAATTTTTTGCACCAAAGTATGCTTGTACTTCAATTCCATTTTTCCACAAAGTTTTTGAGTTTCCTTTAAACATATATATACATTGGGAACCAGCAGTTAGCGTAATGGCTATGTCGCTGGACTCCCACGTAGTCGACCGTGAAAAAAAAAAATATATATATATATATACATTTAAAATATATATTACAAAAATATTTCAATAGTAAGAGGGAAGAGGAGGGCACTGTGTTCTCATTTAAGTCAGACTCAATGTAATAATAATAAAGTCAAAATATTAGTTGTAGCCGATGCACAGGTATAAAACGTGTTAGGCATTGCTCACATTGTAAACTTGGAGTGCTTTTAGAGCCATGTCCTTGCTAAAACCGTAAGCAAAGTCACTATACGGTGCTCATCCAGCAGACAGAGAAGCTGAGGTGGTGAAGCTCAAATGGAGGCTTCCAGGCACACCTCATGGAAACCACAAGTCTGGAGAATTAGTCTGCCCTGTGCTGAGTAGCCAGCAAGGCTAACAGTTCAATGAATGCTCACTGAGAGGTCTACAGTCAGAGATCACTTAGTCCTTTGGGCCAGGCAATCCCCAAAGCAAAAGTACCGTAACAGCCAGTAGTTGTCGTGTGCTCCCGTGCACGAGGGCAGGGGGTGCTGGAGTAGCACTGTGAGCCAGTGAACAAGGGGAAGCCTGCCAGCGAGAGCAGACGGTCCCGGTACCTTTGTGATCAGCCACACACTGGCTGCAGGCCACAGAGTGGGTGGTGCTACACGAGTCCCACTTTTCACTTCACTTCCTGAGGAAGTCAGCTTTCCAACAGAAACCGAGGCATGGAGGACAACACTGGGATCAACCTATGTTGTGAGAAGGAGTATGCGTTAACTTACAGAGGAAAAGTCTGCCTTCCTCAGCACACACACTTACCCAAAATAGGTTACTCTGGAACACTGTATACCCCGATTGAGAAGGTCTCTTTCCAAAACATAGAGCTCAATCCCTTTCAATTTAATCAAAATTTGTTGAGCATTAACTCTCGTATGTAAAACTTTAGACTAATGTTTGGTGTGCAATGTTACAAGATGCTTTCCTGCCCTAAAATATAAAAACAAGACTAGAGGCAATAACATTCTCTCTGTGTGTCTTTCTTTCATGCACTGACACAATTTCATGTTAAGATCTGTTTGAATAATTAAATCATGCTTTTTTTTTTTTTAATTTCAAATGCCAGAAGACATGAGCATTCACCAGAGAGAGTCAGAGAGATGGAGAAAGAGAGGGAAAAACCCTCCTTGGTGGGAGTGGTCATGTCACAATCCCTTCTCCTCCATTTCTCCACCCTATCAGAATTTGGGACTGGAATGCACATATGCCTGGACTGTTTTTTGAGCTTCTGAGCATATGCAAACCATGGTCAGCCACATGAGATTTAATCCTTTAACCCTGGCTAAGGGGCCAGCCCTAGATCGTGTTGCTATAGGCATGCAAAGACCGGTGGCTCATTTTCACTGGAGCAACCAAAACATCAAGTATCTTGAGAGAGAGAACATGTGAACCAATTTCGGAAGGATGTAGACAGTTTGAAAGATAAAATAAAGAATAAAGAGGCATTCAAAGTAAATGAGGAAGTTTAATCAAGTGTCCTAGGATTTGTAAGTACGCTTGAAAGGGAATCTGGCTGAACTGTAGAGTGTGTCAAGTGCAAGGCTATGGAGACAGGTGGACAGTAGGGGCCCAGTGAAAGCTTTCAAGCAGGAGGGACTAGATTACAGCAGATTTTAGTAGACTTGATCTGGCAAGGGTAGACATAATGGATTATAGAATGAAGATGTGAAAGGCAGAGACACTATTTAGAATCCTCATGAGAATAAGGAGATAGGAGCTGAGATGTTAGAGACCATAATAGGGTGGGCAGGAGGTGACAGACAGAGAGACATCACCCCCATGTCTCCCGTGACTATGATCAGGTTACAGAACTACTCCCCTTTATCAGATTGCATGTCGAAGACATTGTACCCCTGCTGGCATCTCTCACTTAGACTTGCTTGTCAAATTACCAGGCACATCACTGTAGGAATTCTATAACCTCATACTTAATAAACTTTATCCCCTAAATTATACAATCACGTCCCCTAAGTGATCATTATGGTTTGTAAATATCAATATTTATTTGTACAGGATTACAGAAACATGCCAATTTATGCTTTACACCTAATAAATATCAATGCTTAAATAACAATTTAAATTATTTCCTAATACTAAGAAATCCACTCTGTATCTATGCTAATACCAGATAATTGTTGAGTAGTAAATTATTTTTTAGAATACACAAATGAAATGAAGATTATAAAGGTGAGTTTTACAAATGTGATCAGGCAATGACATAGGATGTCAATGACAGCTAATATATCTGGTAACTTCTATAATGAAAGATAGCCATTTCTTGGGAAAAGGAACTGTCCTGTGGCTCCTATATATGAAAACAGAAATTTTCAAAGTACAGCAGCCCAGCCGTGTGAGCAGATTGACTTACAGCTCTTTGACTGCCTGTCTCTACTAGCCAGTAGTGGCTGGATCCTGGAGGGGACTCCCCCGCAGCTTCTGAACAAGGATAAACTCTATTCGGCTAATCCATCCACCACAGGACTCAGCATCGAAAGGAGCCCTCTTACTCAACCTCCTAACTCCAAGTTGCCATCACACGCAGAACTCCCCTCTGCAACTGGGCAGAAGATTGTTTTGACTGGAATCAGCCAGACAGAAGGATCGCACTGCCAACTGCTTCTTTGTACAGCACCTGCTGCCAGCGCCTAAATTCTTGTTATCCCCACAACATGGCTTAATCTTTTAACAGTTGGCTTATTGGTGAAGAGCGAAGGGGTCCTTTGTCTCTGCCTTGGGCTGGCACCCAGTATTAACACCACGCTGTTCTTCAAGAGATATTTTGCTGGACAGTTCCCAAGTGATTCCACATAGAGCAGACACAGCCAGGCCCACTAACTCAGCTTCATTTTGTCTCATTAAAAAAAAAAAAAGAAAGAAAGAAAGAAAGAAAGGAAGGAAATCCTGCCAATCTAGGATTCTGATATGCTTAAAACTAACAATGGTCATTAGATTTTTTTTCTTCCATTATTTCAAATTCTTTTTAATTTATCTGATAGCTGAGCTTTACAGAAAATATTTATGAGGGTGGAGAGATGAAAAACTATGCAAATTTAATTCAGGAGGAAAAGTGTTCTGACTATCTGCAGCATGGTATGTGGAATGTCTGTACATGCATTTGTGGGTGAGCGCACACGTGCACTCATGCACATGCGTATAGAAGCATTTCTGTTGAGACTAGAACCTAAACATATACTATCATACACATCACTAGAAAACCTTCTAAAGTCTTGTTCAGAATAAAAAACAGAAATTCTCTTTTATTCTTTTGAATCCTATATGTAATACATAGCTCCCTTTAAATAACTATTATAATTTTGCTTATTTGAGTAAACTGCTGATATAGAAGCTGTCAGTAACAAAAATGATGCATATACCTGCTGGACCAATTAAAACTTCCTGTTTAATTTTGTTTTCCTAAATGAGTAACGACTGATGTGGAATAGCCTTCAATATTCTTATGAAAATTCAAAATAATAGAATCGCTTATGGCCTATTTTTGCAGTTCTACTGAGGCACAGAATATAGGATGATGACCTTTTTTTGGAAGAAGAAGCTCATAGGTCACACTCTTCATTGTGACCAAAGTGTTTACTTTGCTATGTGAAAATTTTATAAATCTTCACTTTTGATAATGCATTTAGGGTCAAGTTAGTATTGGGTCATCAGAAAAATGATGTACTTTTCTGTTTGTCTATGCAAAAATGCATCATTGCTTTTCCAATGATCTAATAGTTTGGTACACAACTTAAAGTCCCAATTGTTACCAAAGAAATGTTACAAAATCTCATTTATCATGTTCTTTCTGTTCCCTACTAAATTGTTTCAGTTCTCTATCAGTTGCTGATTAGCTTACCCACCTCGAAGACCACAAAATGGAAAAACTTGAAAATGGAAAAAAAAAAAGCAAAAACCTCATTAAGCAAACAAACAAGGCGAAATATGTAAGATCTAGTGTGCAGTCTCAATTCGCTCCAATTGTTGGTCTGAAAATAATGAAAGAATTTGGGATTTATTTAAAGTCCTATTTCTTATGCTAATAATAGTTCAAAATTAAACTAAAAGTTCATTTTTGCTCTCCTATATCAGTAATTTATAGAATATGTTATTTCTCAATGGTCTGTTCACCAGATAAATAGGATAAAAAAGAATTCTTTACCTTTTCCCAGTACTTATTGTGGCAAAAAGAATAATGCCAGAATAATATAGAAATTCGGTAGTTATGGATACAAGCCATGAGCCATAAATGCTAAATTTACAAGGTAGCTTGTAAAAATATGCCATAATTTTAAAACATTAACTTGGAGTTTCTCTTGCTGTTTCCATAAGGAAAGTCCTCACTAATGTCCCACCGATGTCTCTGAAGCCACTTAGAAAAAGGTTAGGATTAAAATAAGTTTCCTTTTTATTTCAGCAGAATAAATGACCTGTCCCTTTTTCTGTTGTATTTTCCCATAACCAGGCACTCCTCAAGCTATTCTTCTCATAAGATGCTTTTGCTTTTATATTAACTACCATGAAGTTTAAATCTCATCTATTTCATGGAAACGTATAATTTTTATTGCCTTTCAATTGAGTCCATCGAAAAATGTTGCCAATTTGAGTAACAATAGAAAGCTGTTGAAAGGTGTATTGGTCAAGTTGTCATTTTGCAATAGATTCCAACTCTGTTTCTGGAATGGATAAAAGAGCAACAGGTTGTAATTGTCAGGGCTATATCAGTCTCCCACATTACAAATGGGGATTAGATGCTCCAAATTCTTCTCTGTAGGAAAGGTTTTACTTGTCAATATGAGATTTAAAAGAACAGTCAGGGGTTGGGCACCAATATCTCTGTCGCAAGCCAATTTTAAAGCGTAAGCATCAAGAATATCGGCTTTTGCCTCCCTTCCCTCAATCCCCATTGTAATCCTCTTAGTGTCTTCTTTCCCTCAACGAACAGCTAGATTCTACAATAAAATGCCCTCCAGATATCTGTCACCTCTGCCTGTCTTCATCTTTAAAAGAGCTCCTTTTCAGGTTATTAAATTATCATTCCCAATGCACTGATCACCTCTCTGTAAATAATTGGAGACATTTTGCTGAAAGGATGTGAAAAGTTTCATGGCTAAAGGAGAGCCATCTTTCTTTGAAAGTGTCTCTTTACTATTCAATTTATCAAAGTTTTGCTTTCTTTTTTAAAATTATTTATCTTATTCTATTTGTTATTATTATTATTTTTACATTTTGCTACAGGGCATGTGTGCTCACCAGAGAGAGAGAGAGAGGGAGAGAAGGAAAGTGAAAGAGCAGGCCACCAGGTCCAGGACTCAAACTGTGGTCGGTCATGTGGGAGGTTAGCATCTTGACCAGCACGCCACCTGCTGACCCCAAATTTTTGTTTTCTTACACTACTATTTTGGCTGGACCAAAATTTTACTCAAAATCAATTTCTTCTTCCAAAAATACAGTAGTGTATAAACATTTAAGATGAGTATTTCCTCATTTTTATGAAATCATCGCAACCAATTAATAATCATGAAATAACTATGGATTTTTATTCTCTCATTTTCAGAAAATACAGTTATCTTGTAAAGTCCCACTTTGACCTAAAAGCAAAGAGAAAAGCTTCCTTTGGGTTCCTTTCCCGATATCTCTTTGATTCCCCATCCCTTCTCTTTCAGGTTTTGAGCTGGTCTCTGTTGGATGAATTAACTAACTGGAAAATTCAACTGAGTTTTGGTAAATCCGAGCATCTGGACAATGTTGCACAGAAGATGGTCAGGCTAGCCTTTGCCCTTGAGGAACTGTCAGTCTAGCACGGAGGATGAGACAAAGACCTCCTGACACAAGGACCAAATAGACCACTGCTTCACTGAAATATCCCCAAAGTCTCCTGACTTTCTACAGAACTGCCCCCAACGTCCCTAATGTTGAATTAAGTCCTTTCGTGATCTGCTCCCAATAGTCCTAGTGGAATCTACCATTCTCCCCTGTCTAGCACTGTGTAACCTGAAATACACTCAAACCTGGAGCCTGGTTGACTTTGAGACATGCAAAAAAAAAAAAAAAAAAAAAAGCGGGTAAGTGGAACAGCATGAAGTGCGACGTCACTGTCAATAAGATGGGGAGAGGCAGTGGGCATGTCAGGCCAGGAACAACAGAGCTGGGAGGGTGGGGGTAAAGTGATTTCCGGAAGCAGTCACAGTCAGGGCTAGAATGACGGGCACGATCGCAATGACGGTTATCAAATGCCACCTACATGCCAGGTTTTGTGCTAGGATATGGTGCAAGGGTGACTAAGAAGGCAAAGAAAAAGAGGATGAATTCTAGGCAAGGGTTCCACATAGACATAGTAACAGACAGCGTGGAGTCCTTTCTGAAAACAGCAAATGGACAACCTGGTTGGGGAACAAAACGTGCACGTTGGAGACAGTTGGCCTCGACAGGCAGGTTATGACCGGACGCACAAGCATGCATCTGCGCTGGCCCCACGTTTCAGACTTTGTGCTAGCACTGAGGACTACGAAAGGAGAAAGATAAACATCAATGCCAAGGAACTCTCGATTAGTGGAAGAGAAAGACAAGCAAATGCCTATACCAAAACATAAGCCCTATGAACAATTTGGGCTTGCCATGAGTTGAGTTTCCTAAAGAGCTCATAGTCTCTGGATACACTGACCTATAAAACAAAAGGATCAGGTACCACAGCACAGAGAAATAGCAGTCATTGTAAACACTCCTTTTTTTTTTTTTTTTTCATTGTGGAAGGCACATAACACTGGCCAGAGAAAGACAGAGAGAGAGGGAGGAAGCACCCTCCCCTCCCCATGGGGTATGGTCAGATGGTTAGATCTCCATTCCTTCTCCATCTCTCTTTGCTGTTGGAATTTGAGGCATGCATACATGTGCACTCACTTTTTTTTTTCAAGCCGTTGGCCAGGATTCAAACTGCAGTCAGTCATGTGGGCTCCTGCTCCCTTAACCACCAGGTCACAAGGCTAGTCTGACTTTGTTTCTCTTTCTTTCTTATTCTTTTTTCTTGCTTTCTTTCTTTCTCTTTCTCTTTCTTCCTTTCATGAAAAACATAGAAGGGAGAGAGAGAGATTCTTGACAGGGTCTCGCCATGTCCGGATCGCCCACTCCACCCCAGCCCTCTATCCAGCAAGGATTACAATGCTCCCAGTCAGCCCCAGTGTCAGGTCAGATTTGGCTCTAGTGTCACACAGTGGCACCTGACAGCCTGTGCCATCATGGCTGGGCCTTAGAAATGTTCTTAAAAAATCCAACTCATCAATACAGCTGATAAGCCAAACAATAGGACTTAAATGACATAATTTAAGGGGCAGCCAGTGGTGTGGTGGTTATAATGGCTGGATCCCACATAGCCAACTGTGTAGTTCAAATCCCAACCCAGTAACTTGAAAAATATGCTGGGTCTATACAGTGTGTGTGTGTGCGCTCAAAATCTCAAACAGAAATGGAGGAGAAGGGATTGCAGTGTGACCAGCTCCCTTGGGGTGCTTTCTCACGTTCCCTCTCTCTCTCCAGCAAGCACATACACCTTTTAGCAATTTTTTTTTAATAAAAAAAAAAAAGATGTAATTCAGGTAGAACTTTTTCAGGTAGGTATGCTATATATTGTTTCAGTTTTTAAGTGCCTAATTAAGAGGAAATAAGGAGTAGTACTTTCTCTGACATCTATAAACATATTTTGTAGTTAAAAACATTTCCACAAATATCCTTTTAGTCACCACAGGTCATATGTATCCGGTATATAAATGTACCTTATTAAGTACAACAAATAAAATCTGACCTTGCTCTGTAGGAAATGGTTCTCCAAATCCACTTTTTCATATTGATCAGGTATCTGTTGACTGGTGCAGTTGAAATTAATTGAAAATCCCTCAGAAATTTCCCAACTAAAAAAAGCAAAATATTTCATTATTTTTGCAAGAATAAAATGTATTTAATTATAAAACTTTTTGCCATCATAATGCTTTATGCATCTTACACTCTAAGAGTGAGAGAAAAACATGTATACTTCATGATCTTTCTTTTTTAGAGAGAGATTTTTGCTATAGGGCGTGTATGTTTGCCAGTGAGAGAAAGAGAAAGCTAGAAACCACCTCCCCAGGAGGGATGACCACAGTGCAACCCCTTCTTCTCCATTCTCCACTTGGTATTGTGGGCATGCACACATACACATGTGTCCAACGTGAGTTTCAAGCCACCAGGTCTGGGACTTGAACTGTAGTTGGCCATGTGGGAGTCCACTGCCTCAACTACTATGCCATCTGCTGTCCCCCATGATTTTCTAAAACAGAAATTTGTTAAGAGCCTTGGTATCTAAATTGAGAAAGAAAAGGCCTTAACATTTTACCTTATAATTATTTATGATATTGGGGGATTCCATGCCTAATTAATTGTTAATAGAATAAAAAAATGATCTTTTATGATACAGAACCACTTACTGTGAATGCCTTCCTCAAAGTTGACTTCATATTCTAAATACACCAAACTATGAATAATAAAAGGTGTTTTTAGAATATTAGTGTTAAATGCACTTGTTTGATATTTTTAGAAGAGCTTTAGGAGGCATCACAGGCTGGCAAATATGTAGAAAACCACAAGCAAGAGGGTGAGTTTCATTCTTCATTCAGCCAAATCAATTATCTTCAAAGTGAGCCAACTGTTATCCTAAAACATAATTACCTGGCTCGACACTGATATGTCGAGACATATCATACGGCATGCTAGTCACTAAAAAATAATCCTCGGGACTGGGATTAGTGATTTTTATCAATATTCTGAGAAATATAAGTAAGAGTATGACTATTAAGACTTCATTTTAAACACTTTCAAGTATAAAAGTTAAGTGAATTATTTACCAAAGTTAGCTTATACAGTAAGAGCAACATCACACTGCACTTAAGGAAATAAAATGAAGGAGGACTACATGAATTAAAAATACAAACTAACAAGAGGAAGAAAGGGAAAGAATTTAGCAAATTTAACAGCTTGAGGAAAGATTATTACACGCCAAATAAATCTTAGAATGGAAAACATCTATAAAAATAATGTTGATAAATTATTTTCCATCTATAAGAAAAAAAGAAGAAGAAGAACAGATTTAAGTCTTGCCTGGAATGCCCAAGTACTCACTGGAGGACAGAGGTCATTTCAACAGCGACTGTGGAAGACCAATGAGCTTGCCCTTCTAGACAAATTTAGCAATAACTGTCACTAGCCGGATGAAAGACCTCATAGACTGCTCTGGGTTCTCGAGCACACCCTCTACTTGGGTCTTTTCAACTGTGTAGTCAGAAGGCCTAGACGAGGCCTTCAGTAGACCACCTCGTCCAATCTCATACCAGCATCACGCTGCAATGTCCAATACAGCAGTCTCTATCCACATATTCACATTTCAATTTAAATCCACTTCAATGAAACCCAAAATTCTGTTCCTCAGTCACACTGGCTGAACCTCACGTGCTCAGTAGTTACAAAGTGTGTCTCTGTCACCCAGGAAGTGCTATTGCACAGTACTAGACCGTGGGTCATCACTCAGGTCCATAAGACAGATGCCCTGGGTTAGTGTCCTGACTCTCCGTGTACCAGCTTTGTAACTTTGGGCCTATTACTTTGCCCTTTTATGCTTTTATTTCTGTCTCTGGCGGGGGGCGGGAATGGAGTAACAGAAGAATAATAGAGAATAATGGGAATAAATCATTGTTCTGAGAATTAAATAAATATTGACCAATTCATTTATTACTGTGCCCGGTCTAGAGTCAACACTCAGTAAATGTCAGTTTTTATTATTTACAGTAAGAAACTGACACCCATCTGCTTCAGGACAGCCCTGAGCAGAGCTGAGGCAAGATGCCCAGATCTCCCACCGCCTGCTCTTCTCTTCTTGTCCCCGCCCTCCAAGCCCAAGCACAGAGCCTCTGCTTTTAGTTTGTCAGCATCAAATGACATGTTTCAATGTGAACATATGTACTGAGGATAGGGCATTTTACATTTTAGTTATTCCATCTAACATTATTAACTTACAAATAACTATTAACTTACATCTTAGACAAAATCAGCACTTCTGTGAAGCAGAAACAATATTCTGCTCATTGCACTATATGATTTTTTTGAACTAAGTGAAGTTATTGAGTCTTTCAAGCAATATCTTATTATACCATGAAATGAGTCAATAAAACGAATAATTGTTCATTTAAGATGGCTCAGAGAACATCTTAGTCTGAACCAGGCCACTCTGATTACTTGAGTCAAAGTCAAGTCCACTTACCTGTCGCATGCAGGTAGGAGAGCAGCATTAGGGTCCAAAAAGGTCTTATATGCAATTGTAACACCATCTCTGGAAAATGCAGCCACCCTGTCAAAGGTCAAACCCAATACAGGGTATAGGGGCAATCTGAAAGAAGGAAAAGAACACCAGAGCTATCTGCAAAATTAAATACACGCTGAAATATGAGCACAGTTAACAATTAAATATACACTATCTGAATCTAATAAAAGCCAGAGGTATTAGATGGCACTGCTGTTAGTTTCGTGCATTGCTATCTGAAATGTACATTTATTTAGCTGAATTATGATACTAATATACAACATGTAATTTTGGATAGTTGCAACAGGGGTAATTACAAAACGTAACTGCAATTATAAAAGCAAAATATTTAATTGAGACAATCAATTGTTTATGTAATGTTCATTTTTGATGTATATCTATAATCATGCTGATCTTTGGAACTGATAAATAATCCTTAATATTTGGCTATAAACAGCTATTTTTTGTGAGCTCACTAAATGTGATGCTGATATGATTTTCATGTTACATATTGTTAGGTACAATGTTTTGGGTGCACTCGGGATTAAAATCTAACAGAAAACACACCTGAAATTGACGGTCACTATGTCAACTGTGAGCAATGACTCTCCACTACCGATGAAGACATGCTATTTAACTCTGGAATTAAAGGGTTCAACCACATCATCTATGCAATCTTGTTGCCAAAAAGCTTTGAACTGAATCTAATAATGAGAAAACACTGAAAAATCCAAAATATGAGGCATTCAAGAAAAGTGCTTGGACTCTTGGAAGAAAACTCTATCACAAAACAACAAAACCAATGGAAGAGGAAATGTTCTAAATTAGTAAGCACGAAAGAAAATAACCAAGCGCACTGCGGGAAGCCTGCTTGGATACTGGACGGCACGAAGCTCTGAAGCACGCGTTGGACAGCCTGGACAGCCTGTGTAAGAGGTGGCACCACGCTCTGCCGCGCTGTGTAGATGCTGTCATGTGCTTGCACAAAAATCGTCCTGGTTAAGTGACAGGTTCAAGGCAGTAGGAGTGAAATGTTTATGATTTTCTAGATTACTCTGGAAACCATTCGAAAGAAGACAGAAGAGAGAGAGACACAAGAGGTAAAACACATGTGCAGGCACTTAAAATTGGTGCTTTTAGTTAAAGGATGTTCATGTATTTACTGTATCATTTTTCTACCTTTGGTAGATTTGAAATTTTTCAAAATAAAAATTGGGGGAAATAATTAAAGGACTCAAATAGCATCAGATATTTGTGTGGTAAGACCCTTTAGCTTGACCTCTCCCATATCAACATAAATTAGGCACCTTAGAATTACTTCCTGAAAATGAATGCCATTTATCTAGTGTATACTGCACATTTTCTGATTATATTTTAAGCAAGATGGCAATAACTTTTTAGATAAAAAAATATTAAAAGTTCTAATGGTAGCAAAATAATATCATGGTTGCCTAGTGCTCTATGTTGGACTAAAACTGGGAGGGAAAATGCATTACCCTCTTAAAATATCAGTGAAATACAAATAAATACATGCACTTACAAATTTCTCCAACTGCAATCCTCACTTGATTTTAGAATACTCCACTTTATTGGCATTTTACCAATTATTCCATGGATAAAATCTCAGTAGCCAAGAACAAGTTCTTGCTCTAATCTAAATGCTATATTGTAACAAATATCATTTAAAACATCAAAATTAGTCATTACTTTTACTTTGACAATGATATTGAGAAGAAGTAATAATGACACACATTTTATTAGTCTTTCCTTATAATTAGAAAGGCTTGCTAAATTATGGAAGAATTCTGGCCACTTTAAAATTCATGACTGCTTTCATTATCGTAAAAACAATTTTTCTGATACTGTAATTAAATTCTACTTTGAGATTTGCTTATGGGAAAAAAACTTACCATTTCTTATGGGTATATTTTTGATTCTATAAATTACTCAGCATAAGAAATCATGAAATACTTTAACTGGGGCAGAGGAAATAAAATTTCATAACCCCCTACCAACCTGTTCTAATATCTTCCTGGATTTCTGAGTAGACTTATTTCATATTTTGACTATTTTAATATATAGCAAATCCAAGCAGGCTAACTTTGCTAAGATTGAATTCTGGTCATGCTATTTTCATCATGATCACCATGGGATCAAGTGTACTCTGTACGCAAAATTATTTTCCTTTACTCTGTTCCACAGAAAAATGACGAGTGCGTAAAATTAAGAATCGGCAGAAGAGTGGATTTTAAGCTTCCTGACAAGCAGTTCTGGAGTTCACCTAGATGTGTCCTGTCAAAATATGCACACAATTTCAAGATACTGGGCACAACAGCCCAGCTCATCAGCGCCGATGCACCTCGGCCTTCTTTCCTTCTTCAAATGCAGGTAAGTTTATGCAGGAATTTACCAATCTACAAAAATTTACACGATGCACAGCAATAACCAGTAATTATTGTGGGATAATGTACGATGCCTCTGAGGAATCTATCTTAGATAGGATAGGGCTTACGAGCTTTACCAATTTATCTTTAGCTTCCTGTCACTGGTGCTTAAAAGGTTAAGACTTTATTTGTGAAAACATAGAGAGATAGCGGGGAATCATGTTGTCTACAGCTTCATAAATCTTGCTTAAGATCCTTTTCAATTACCATCCATTTCTCCTTTAAAAAGGGACAAAAAAATAGAGGAGTGGAAGCAGGTCAGGGCAGTGTGCGACAATGACAGTGTGATGGGCTTGGCCCCCCGTGGCGTTTCCATCTGCTATCATTAAGGTGCCTACTCAGACATGAACAAATCCCTCTTGCTGTGCTGACAGGCAGACTTCAAGAACTATGACAAGGCATTAGACAGAAAGTCGGAGAGAGACACGGAGAGAGCGAGAGGGAGAGAGATGTCATATCCCACAAACAATACGGCCTCACAAGAATGCCCCTGAAATGTATTGCAGTTCAGAATTTTAACATTTCCTAAAGGGTTACTTGGCATCTACACTCACTCTCCTTTTAAATTAGCTTCCTCCCGGAAAGCTGGGGGACAAACTGAGAATAAGCACCTCGGTCCTACCTGTATGCTTTACCAGAGGAGAACCAAATTTTTTGCCCATTCTTCAGCAAAAGTGGATTCTTAATTTCTTGACCGTGTTCATCGAACAGCCGGGCTGCAGAAACACTGAGGCCTGGTGGGTTGGTGGAAGAACCTTGAAGCCTTTGATGAATCTTGAGAAGTAACTGGTTGGGGGCAGGGAAGGATAGAAAAGAAGAAATAACCTAGAACGGGAACATCTGTAATGAACTGTCTCTACTCTGTAACAAATGAAGTCCAAACAAATGATAATTAAATTCACATAGGATGTTAAAAGAAGTGTGAAATGACGGCAATGTTTAGCTCAGTGTAAAGTAAAGACGGCAATGTTTAGCTCAGTGTAAAGTAACAAAATGAGCACGGGCTTTTAACCAGCAGGGGGTGCCACAGGCTTGTGATTGAGCTCTGACCCTCTGGCACGGGGACTGAAAGCAGATGTGAGTCTTACCGAAGGAGCGTTCAGCTTCCACACACGCTAACCGTCCTCTTTAATAAGGGTTATGCTTTTCCAGGCTGAGCTGGGCATTTAGTTAGGGGCCTACCAGAGCACGTCTGAGTTTAGCAGCCAGCCATCTCGTCTCCAACCCCGTCTCAGGACCGCCGAGCCCAAGGGCTCAGCCTGAGCTTGCTCCCACAACTCTCCCTGGGTGCATTCCAATTACGAGCTCTGCAAACGCTGTGAGCACCTTCAATAATGTTGTTTTCAGGTTGTGAATAAGACATCACTGAAGTGTGAAGTTTGAAATGCTGTCATTTAATATGTTAAATAATAGCGCTGTCAGTGCGGGCTTCTGTGTTACCGTGGAGTCTCTACACCCTCCACGTCATTCTAACCAAGGCACATTTCCCTTCTGAAGTAAATGTCGCCGAGCCGTGTTGCCCACAGTGCGGGCAGGCCAGGCCGGTTCCTGACCGGCGTCACCGTCGTGTGCAGTTGGGCCTCTGCTCCGCCCTGCTCTGCTCCCCACACTACTCGGGGCTCGGCTCTCCCCCAGCCTTCTGGCCAGGGCCGCCTCCCCTCTTTGCCTCGTCAGTTCCTGTGTCTCTCCGTTGCTCCTTACTCTAATGCCCGCAGGGATGCGGAATAGCTGCGCCCCTTCCTTGCCTAGTGCAGGTTCACGGCCTGTCTCCTTGCTCCTGTTGGTTCCATCGAAGGTATCTGACACACACTCAGCGCCCAGGCTTAGCGGAAAGGGAGAGCTGCAGCCCTCCCCCGACCACAGTTTTAGTCTTGAGCAACAGAAAAGCTAAATATGATGTGACAGTTTATAGGGTTTTATTTTCCATTTCATAAAAGTTGTTTCGAGTCATGCAGCATGGCTGAATACTTTGAATTTAAAATACTGATTACTATTCATTTTAGGTGTGTAATAAATAGAGTTGTTAGAACAGTAAAAAAAAAAAATCTGTATTTGTCTCCACTGGCACCACAAACGTATTTCGTATCTGTAGACTGTATTTCCAAAGCTTCACATTTAGCTCCATGTAGTCTCAGCCCGTGAGCTTGTCTTCGTTGCTTTGCTGTTATTTCAGGAAACATGTAAAGCTGATCTTTTTTAAATCACAGGGATTTTGCTTCCTGGTCGTCACCTTTTTGAAAAGGGGAAAGATACAGAATATTGTGGGCCTACTCCAAGAAAGAAAATGTGCCCGGGGTGTGCGGGAGACACGGGTATGAGCACCTGAGCACTTGGCGGGAGTCACTTTCACAAGAGTTGCCCTTGCGACCTCTGTCCCCTCGACTTGGTGACAGACTGCATCTTAGGTGTTCAGGGGTGCTGTCTGATGGCCTTCAGGGGGTAAGGGCTGCAGTGCATCCACATTTAGGTCATTGGCTAGGGCTGGGCCACCAACCCAAAATGGTGCTCATCTCCACTCACTTATCTTTAAAGCTGCCATCATCGGGCCTTTATAGCAGACGGATTTGTTCCGAGACCTGAGAAGAGCATGAAATATCCTGGGCTCATGACTGAAACAAGCGTCCACACAAGGAAACAGTCCTTGGGTGTCACCAGGCGCTTTCAAACAAGCTTTATAATGCCCCGATTGAAGTTTTTCTCCTGGATTGTCTTACACAGAAAAGCAAAGCAGAGATCAATTTCAGCGTGCCATAAGTCAATACAAAAAACGTCTACAGAATACGATCTTCCCATAAAACAGAAATGTTATGTTTGATTTTAACATGAACCACAAAGTAAAATAGTTTAATATGGAAAAAAAGAAAAAAAAAGGTGGATACAGGTGGAAAAATTCTAGGAAGGTTTTTGCATAATCATGGAAGTGATGGTTAAAAAAAGCCAGCCAAGACTCTGAATCTTTCTCTGAGCAATCAAGGTAGCATTTCCCGGTCTCTTCTGAGTCCAACTAAGGATCTAATGAGAGCCCCCCAAGTCACATACAACCCACAGAGCGAAGTCTGAGGGTGCTGAACCTGGTGGGGGTGGGGGGAAGAAGCCAGTTCCTTAAGAAAGGTGAGCAGTGGTGTCCCAGCGCTGTGTGCCCGCTGCCACATAGAAAAAAAAAAATCTGTATTTGTCTCCACTGGCACCACAAACGTATTTCGTATCTGTAGACTGTATTTCCAAAGCTTCACATTTAGCTCCATGTAGTCTCAGCCCGTGAGCTTGTCTTCGTTGCTTTGCTGTTATTTCAGGAAACATGTAAAGCTGATCTTTTTTAAATCACAGGGATTTTGCTTCCTGGTCGTCACCTTTTTGAAAAGGGGAAAGATACAGAATATTGTGGGCCTACTCCAAGAAAGAAAATGTGCCCGGGGTGTGCGGGAGACACGGGTATGAGCACCTGAGCACTTGGCGGGAGTCACTTTCACAAGAGTTGCCCTTGCGACCTCTGTCCCCTCGACTTGGTGACAGACTGCATCTTAGGTGTTCAGGGGTGCTGTCTGATGGCCTTCAGGGGGTAAGGGCTGCAGTGCATCCACATTTAGGTCATTGGCTAGGGCTGGGCCACCAACCCAAAATGGTGCTCATCTCCACTCACTTATCTTTAAAGCTGCCATCATCGGGCCTTTATAGCAGACGGATTTGTTCCGAGACCTGAGAAGAGCATGAAATATCCTGGGCTCATGACTGAAACAAGCGTCCACACAAGGAAACAGTCCTTGGGTGTCACCAGGCGCTTTCAAACAAGCTTTATAATGCCCCGATTGAAGTTTTTCTCCTGGATTGTCTTACACAGAAAAGCAAAGCAGAGATCAATTTCAGCGTGCCATAAGTCAATACAAAAAACGTCTACAGAATACGATCTTCCCATAAAACAGAAATGTTATGTTTGATTTTAACATGAACCACAAAGTAAAATAGTTTAATATGGAAAAAAAGAAAAAAAAAGGTGGATACAGGTGGAAAAATTCTAGGAAGGTTTTTGCATAATCATGGAAGTGATGGTTAAAAAAAGCCAGCCAAGACTCTGAATCTTTCTCTGAGCAATCAAGGTAGCATTTCCCGGTCTCTTCTGAGTCCAACTAAGGATCTAATGAGAGCCCCCCAAGTCACATACAACCCACAGAGCGAAGTCTGAGGGTGCTGAACCTGGTGGGGGTGGGGGGAAGAAGCCAGTTCCTTAAGAAAGGTGAGCAGTGGTGTCCCAGCGCTGTGTGCCCGCTGCCACATAGTCCCAAGTGTCAACAGGATGTTCGTTTCTTTCTATGCAAGACAAAGGCTCAAAATAAAGACTCCAAACTAGTTGGTTCTACCAGAGAAGCATCCTGATGGTCTAGAAAACAGGCAGATAACCTAAGACAAAATGGTCGAGCTCGCTTACAGTGGGCGTGGGAAAGCCAACTCCCTGTGTCGGTCTTCCAGGGCCCAGAATTTTGAAGTAGCCTAGACTCAGAGCATGCCTTCCACTGAACACCATGTCACTTCTTTTTAAAGTATAGATAAAAGGGCAATACCAGTGGATTAAAAGCACAGTCCATTGGTATCAAAAGATTTCCACATACCAGGGGACTTCAAAAGGTACTTGAAAAAAATGAAATTAAGAGTGTATTCAGGGCCAAAATTTTTGAAAGCCATTTTTAGTTTCTCGTAATAAGCATTTCCCACAAACTTCCTAAAGGCCCCCCTCTGCTATGCATCACGAAGGTTAAGATGCTGTGCGTAAAGGCCCAGGGCTGGCACCACGCTAAATCCGAGTGCCTGAGGGGCTGGGAAGCCCAGCTGTAGAGAAGCAGCCGTGACGGTCAGCAAGTGGGTGAGCTTTTCACCGACTCTACGAACTAACCGTGAGTTAACTACAAGTGACTTGAATGATATTTATGCTTGTTCGTATAGTCAGCAAACTCACTCTTTCCATCATATCACCG